TTGCGTATCTTTTCTGATACTTAGACAGCACTAAAATTCATCTAATATTAGGTCAAAATCGTTCGGTTCCTTTTTTTAATGATTTTTCAAAATATGATAACTTTGTGCACATTTGTCCAAGTCAAATATGCGCCGTTTTGTTCGTAAACTTGTCGCCAACGAGATGCCAACCTCATTATACCCCTCTCGTAGAATTATGCGCCCCTATTGGCAAAAAACTCGGAGAGCTTATTTTCACAGGCCTCTCTTGAAGCCAACTTCTCACAATTAAGCGCGTTCGCCATGGCAAGGAAAAGATGGTAATCACTTGGCGCCAGTTCCGGACTATAAGGTGGGCGCACTAGGACCTCCCATCCGAACTCCTGGAGCTTCTGGCGCATCACCAAAGACGTGTGTGGTCTGGCGTTGTCCTGATGGAACACAATTCGGTCTCTGTTGATCAAAGATGGCCTCTTCTGGATGAGTGCTGCCTTCAAGCGGTCCATTTGCCGAATTGAGCGTTTGGCCATAGGGCAGCAGTTCGTGTAGATGATTCCTTGCCAATCCCCCCAAACACACAGCAAAACCTGGTGCATCCTTGACATCGAAATTACCGGAACGGAACCTACAAACCACTTTTGTGCTACACGCTCGTTTCCAGTATCTGGCTCATAAACTAAATTAATTTTTTCAGCCGCTTTGGCTGCTTTTTCGCATTTCTTTTGCTGTTGTCCATCTTTGACGAGCGATCACAACGTACTGAGTCAATCAATCGAAAAACTGTCAAAAACAAACTTTTAGCACGAATAAACACGTTGCCAGTGCCGGACTATGAACGATAACGCCATCTCTTAGATAAAAACCGAACGAACTTTTTACTTGACCTAATATATAAAAATAAAATCTGTAATAGAATAGAATTGGCGCAGATCACTTAGTGTATTGGTGATAAAGTTCTCCCCGAATCTAGTATGGGTACTTGGCCTTTGTAACGTTACCACGTCAATAGATGAACGACATGGCATAAAAGAAATTCAAGGGAACTGAATAAAGTAATAATTGGCGCCTCTTAATTGCCGTCACTTACTTCCGGCTGAGTTTTTCTTCCAATTTGTGGTGTTCGCCCTAATGTTCTTCCCACAGTTTATTCTAAGCCACTTCCGAAAGACGAAGCTTTTACTTCTTGACAGTAATACACCCAGAGGGGCTGATATTTCCTGCCTAGATACGAATGCAATTAGCAAAATAATTGTTTTTATTTAAATAAATTTTTTACAATTCTGAATTTTGGTCAGAACATTACGCGTAGCCTGATATTCCGAATGGTAGTATACCTTGCTAGCTACTCGAATATAGCGGTCACTTATCTCTTTAAAAAGGAAGATATTTACAAATTATTAAGTTGTATATTCTGTTTGGAACCTGAAACTTTAAAGAACGTTCTCTTGAAAAAAAAAAAAACAAAGATATAATTAATAATAATTCTACACCTCGGTTTGATAAGCTACTGCAGACTCTGGAACTTGAGTGAAGTGAGGTGATGACCAATGACTACTCCATCCTAATCGAACCTTAAGGTCTGAGAAAGGAGTGGTTCGCTTAATAGGTTATGCTGATCTCATTGACTGTAAAGAGTTTTATATGGATGATAATACCCCCTCCATAGTGTTACCGTATACACTGCACTTCTATATACGATCAATGTTAAATTGCTACACTCTCACTGCCTCTTGTCTTGCCTCTTTAATATTGTTTGCCGCTCTTTCCGCAAGTAGAAAAAATCGGTCTGATCAATTGCTCATTGAAAGTCTGCAACTTTTCTTCGTTAAGTAAGATCAGCCTATGTGTGGAGAACACTGGATACTCATGTCCGGTAACAGATCAAAAATAAATTCATGAGAGACTAACAGATATCTAGATAAATAAAGGGTGTTTATGTTTTTAAACACTTCGTTTTCAATGGGCCTAAATAAGATGGACACCGATCCCGATTGTCACAAGAAAATTTTGTTAACCATTGAAGCTCACTTTTGGTTAGAAAAAACATTGGAAGCGATATTAATTCGCAAGACATTGTTGAGCCACGATTAATGACTATTTGTGCCTGAATTGGAATATGTTGGTGAGGACAACCTCTGGTTCCAACAAGATGGCGCTACATGCCAAACAGTCAACGAAACAATTGAGTGAAAACATCGCTGAACTATTTTCTGTGAGGTTTTTTCTATTCTATTGTCTACGCCGAGGCGTATGACTTCTGGGAAGAGAATATCCAACTACAACATTAAATTATATTGAAGGCCTGCTCCCTACAACAGTTGGAAGCTAGACTACAAAGATAAAGTAATCTATAAAGACATACAAAATCTCATTACCTAACCTCAGTTTTTTGCTTCAATTATTCGACAGGCGAAATATTATGTCGTCTACACATATTTTGAGGGAATATCGCTAATATTATGAAGCTTCCCACGAATTGTTGGTGCAAATATTTTTAAAATTTAAGATTATTTTTTGTATGCATGAATCATACCAAGAAGATTCACTTGTTCTACTGAACTTCCACAGAATCTATAAATTTACAATATTTCATGTCTCAAAGTCAATACAATTCGATATACGATTATTAATCGTACGATTTATCGATGTATACGAATAAATAGTACAGCACTGAAATGTGCTAAATCTCAAATATATGTTTGGTAATTTAAGAATTTCGGACAGATAAAAACGAATTAAGAGAAAAACTTTTAATTACATAATTTTTGGATTTTTGCCTCACCAAATGAAACTGAACGAAATAAGTAATGAATGAATGGCTAGCTGAGACATTTTCATAATTGCGCATTCATCAAGCTGTCGCTCTTTATTTACTGTCCAGTTCAAAACTTTACACACAGTCTGGACAAAACCACTCAAAGCAATGCGTGAGTCTCGAGATAGACAAAAAAATTAAAAAGAGATGATGAAAAAATGAATTCTTAAGTCATGAAATTGCAAATTTTTTTACGCTTCAACTCATTGCACTGCTGAGCTGAGAAATCTTTGACAAATATTTGGCTGCTTGGTAGAGTGACAATCTTTATTTTGTTCTTTTTTTTAATTTTTTTTGCAACCACATTTTAGCTACAAAGGTTTCAATACGGTTACGCAACGTTGAATTTGCATGAAAAAATAGTTCTAAAGTGAAATAAAATGGAATAAAACGAAATAAGTGAAAGAAAAAAAATTTGAAGGAGTAAAAGGATAAAAAGTAAACGCAATAAAAGCAAAAAATATTTCGAGCAGTAAAAGAAGAAACTGACACTTGAAGTTGGGTGCAGTTGTTAATGACACTTAATAACAACAACAACAACAATAATAATAACAACTGCAACAACCAGATCGTCAACCGTGTTCAAGTCAAGCCTTTCATATCCGTCGTCTTTACGGCGCCATCTAAACTCATCAGAGCATTATTTCTATGCGCTTAACTTTCACAAATTTTCAGAACGGTGCATTCCAATGCAATGGGAAGGTGGTCGTTCATAGTGAAGTACAAAATTTACTACCAAATTTATGTAGAGGCTGAAAAGTGGTAGTGCCTTCTCAAAACCCTCAATCATAGATGTCGCTATAGGTCAAATAGAAATGCTAAGTTCGGTCGAAGGCCGGTGGCTAAGTACTAGGTCTCATTTATTTGATTGTGTCCTAAACTATAACTCGTCAAAACCTGTAGTATTTTAATTATCGACAATTTTCTTGGCTGGTTAAAGAAAAGAGAGAAAAAGTTGCTTATGATTCAGGCTGGATTTTCGACTCAACTGCATGTGTTCTGACGAAGTCCAGGCAGTTAGTGTGAGTTCGAAAGCGTTAGTAGATTTCACATCCATTTCATACATGGTGAAGAGTATCTTTGAATCGCGCATATGATGACCGTTATCGCGGCATGATAACCGACTATTTGATGCTTGAAATTGAAGCTCGTAATCTCGGCGAAATTTGGTTTCAACAAGACGGCGCCATTTCCCACGCATACCATAAATCAATGAATTTATTGAGAGAACACATCGGTGAGCAGATAATTGGCCACCAAAATCATGTGATATCACACCATTAGACTTTTTCCTATGGGGATATGAAAAGACTTAAGTCTATGCGTACAATCCCCCTTGGGTGCAGGCCTTGAAGCAAAACATCCCGCGTGTTACCAGTCGAAAATTAAACTCAACGGATGGACCATCTGAGACGGAGCCGCGACCAACATTTGCAAGAGATAATATTCAAAAAATAAATGCTAAAGAATGCTCTTTTAAACGATAATAAACATTCCCTAATAAATTTGAATTACCTGCGTTATTTTCTTTAAAGAAGTAGGGAACCTTGAAATGGATCGCTCTTTAATAGATACAATTTAGTCAGTCAGCAGATATTCTTAAAGAATGGAAATTTCTACCACTGCCCTGGAATGCACCCTCTCACATTGCGCATAGTTAAGCATTTGTCGATGTCGTAGGAAGTGCAAAACACTCGAAGGCAAGTAACTAAGTAACTCTGGCTTCGTTGGTAAACTTCGAAGTAGACTCTAAAAAGTTTAGTTGCCTTTTTGCATGAGTAAAGGATTTCTGTTTTAAATTTTTTTGGTTTGTTTTTGTGCTTTAATGTAGCTTCGGCCAGCCGGTCGGCCGGTTAGCTCACTCAATTTGAAGGAGTTGATAAGTTTTTTAATTTTTAAAAGGACACTTTTTTGCACTCGTTTTTTTCTTAACTTCGTTAAGTGCAGTGGCAAAAGTCAGTGAACGTTGGAATATCAATTTTTAATTTGTGGTAGGAAGTGTTGTGGCGGTATTTTGTCTCAATCCTTTTTCTCAGCTATTCATCAACTTGGTTTTTGGTTAGACTTGGCGGTAATTAATATGCATTAAAGTTTGTTTTTTCCCACTACAGTTGAACAATCAATGGAGTTTGCTACGCCTGTCACTTGCCATACATTTATCTGTCACTTCAATATATAAATAAACGTATGTATGTATGTTACTTACACTAAAGTTTTTAATATCCGTTTCCTCGGAGATCTGCTTTAACACACCCACATTTATTAGATTGTTACAATACTGTATTGTTAGATTATTCAAGTCTTGTTCACTGAGATTATTGCCCGATTGTTGTAGGGATGAGATGAGCCACTTCATGAGCATTTGACCTGTAAAGAAAGAGAGGGAGAATTTAGAATCCAAATATTTTTTCATTAAAAAATTAATATTGTATGTAACAATCTTACTTATTCTATATGAACTGTAGATTATATGCATCATTTGTAGAAATGCTACCATATTGTGTAACGGTATTTATAGCAGCTCTAAATATAGACTCCCATTCATTGATTAATATAAGAGATATGGCTGTTTTGCACACTTTTTTTCAATAAATAGCTTTTGAAATAAAATTATATATTTTTTAAATAATGATAAACTCTTTTTTTACAATGACGTAACCGACTCAGGTAGATTTGTATTGCCTGAAGAAACTTAATGCTTGGGTTACAAGTTAGGAATAGAAAAGTCAGTATATACTAACGTTCTAGAAAGCGGAATCTTTAACTCGTATTACATATGTAAGCCTTTTGTCGCTCTGAATTGCTCTCAAGTAGACTACAAAGCAAGAGTGAGTTATTTTGAGAGGAACGATGTATTCAATGAAAAGTAGGCCTCAGACCTTTTCAAATTATTGTTCGATTTGAGAGCTAAAGAACCGAAGTTAGAAGAAGGTGCTTGATATATTTACTTATGTATAAAGAATTTTCGTAAACTATAATCTTTATAAAAAAGTAAGAAAAATGGTAAAAGTAATAGCTGTAACGGAGATCACCACATATCCTCATCAGTCTCCTATTACCCGGTTGATTTAGGGCTCCAACGTAACAGGCCAGTGCTTTAATCACATCCTTAGGAAAGCGTTGAGATATATGTAGATACATTTAGTTGGTTCAAAACCTTATGGTGGAGTAGGAGAATCTGCTTTCACGCGCAATCCATTATTGGATCTCTTATACAAACTACGATATGATTATAGTATTTCTAGGCTCAGATTTCTACTACCATGGAAGCTGTTTAATATATTGGAAACATCTACTCAGTAAGAGACATCTTAACCTTTAATTACGCGATTATAGTAGAATCAAAAACATCGCAGCATTTATTCCTCAGCCAGTTGGAGATACTAAGTGAACCATGCCGCCTTACAGCTCATCGTTTCACCATCTACGGTATTCGCCGTAGCCAATGCGCAAACGACCATAAATCGGTCATAAAACTTTTCTCGAAGACTCCCAGGGATGTTGTAATCGCATTTATGGCTAGCATTTGCCATGCGACAAAAACTAAAATGAGCAAACTAATACAATTACAACTTAGACTCCCTTAAGTAGAAGGTAAAAATCATGACCGGACTGGTACCTTCATTGGAAGCGAAATATAATAATATTCTGATTATGTTGAAGTAACTTCATCATATACTTTCTTGAGAAAATCTTTTGATCCTTCCACTAAAGTTTACTTACGTATGTTGTTATGTATTATAAGACTTAGTCGGAGTGTAAAGGAATATCTAAACTTCGGTATCAGAAATTTAGATATAATTTTAAATATGATCGAGCTATTTTTCCAATTCGGGGTTGTGCTTCTTGATTTTTTTTCATGTCAGCAATACACTCGAAAGGCTTGATATTACCTACCGATGAGCGAGCACAATTAGAAAAAAAAAACATATCTTTATAACTAAATTTCTATAATTTTAAATGATGGTTTGACGATCACTCTCTGCAACTTTTTGAAAAACACAGCCGCCATTGTAGATTTATTACTGGGAAATAATAGCAGTTTTTAGAACTCGGCCTTCACAAGGTTACACCAATAAACTCCCATATTGATATCATTTTTGTCAATTTTTCCTGATAATTTGTATGCCTTGTACTCTGTGATTAATAACAGGTTTTTTATAAGTAAGTCTATGAAAGCTTTTCAGCTTCAAGGGTGATGTATAGCATGGAACTATGTACTTGTGCTAAGCCACCAATGGAGATAACGAAAAAAATACACAGAAAAAGAAACAAATGGACTACCATCCATCATACCAAAACCAGTTTAAAACATAAAAAACCTATTAAAACAACTTAATAAAATAAAGTTAAATAACACAAATAAATGAAATAAAATAAGTAAATATAAAATAAAATAAATAAATTATATGTAAATTCCTAACCTACATAAACAGAAATGCGGTTCTGCTAAATGCTAACAGCCTTTGAGGATAAATGGTTGTGGAAGATACAAATGTCCTTGAAAACTTTTAAATAGTGTTTTTTTTTGCCAATATTAAATAAAGATAGTATTGTTGTATAATGTTTCTAAACAAAGAATGTGTAAAGATGATCCCTAAATGATCTGAAGATATTTATTAAACAAAAGATTTTATTAGTTTATGCATGCGACATGTAATGTAACCCTTTGCATAGGCAAAGTCTAGTAAATATTATATTATACATCCGTGTACGTGATTGTGATAATTGTATATACCTACCTGGTAATTCTTAAGATATTTTGTGTTATATTAAATAAGATAAAATAAAATGAAAAAATAAATAAATTGAATAAAAAGAGATAAACTAAAATGAAATAAAATAAAATAATATAAAGTAATTGAAATAAAATAATTTAATATAAAATAAAACAAAATAAAAAAAATAATACAAAACAAAATAAAAAATTACATGACATAAAATAATATAAATAAAATAAAATAAAATAAAACCAAATTAAATAAAACGAAATTGAACGAAATGAAATTTAATGAAATAAAATAAAATAAACTAAAATAAAATAAATTCAAATAAAATAAAAAAAAATAAAATAAAANAAAAAAAAAAAAAAAAAAAAAAAAAAAAAAAAAAAAAAAAAAAAAAAAAAAAAAAAAAAAAAAAAAAAAAAATAAAATGAAATAAGAAAAAAATAAGAATAAAACAAAATAAAATAAAACCAATTATAAAATAAAATACAATAATAAAATAAAATAAAACAAATCAAAACAAAATTGAATAGAATAAAATTTAATAAAATAAAATACAATAAATAACGTAATATAAACTGAAATTATATAAAATATATTAATACAAAACTAAATATAAAACAATAAAATAAAATAAAAGAGATAAAATATAAAAATGAAATAAGTGAAAATAAAATAAGAAAAATAAAACAAAATAAAAAATTAAAATAAAATAAAATAAAATAAAGTAAAATGAAATAAAATAAAACAAAAAAAAAAAATAAAAAAAAAAATAAAAAAAAATAAAATGAAATGAAACTGAAATTATGCAAACAAAAGGAAATAAAATAATAAAAAATAAAATACAATAAAAAGTCAAAAAAACTAAAATTTTATAAAATAAAATAAAAATAAATAAATTACATTAAATTGCAATAAAATAAAATAAGATAAAAATGAAGTAAAATAAATTTAGAATATTAAAATATAATAAAATGAAAATTAATATAATATATAAAAATGAAATAATCTGAAACAAAATAAAATAAATAAAATTATAATTAAGTTAAATAATATTTAGATGAACCAGACTGCTCGATTAAACAAAAAGAAAGGGCTTTTAGTTGTTGCTGAGCTTTTAAAAGAGATGCCTTAAATATTAGTTGCGGAAGTTAAGACATTACATTTTCAATTTGGCATTTATTATGCGATAAACCGATTTTATTCTCTCATTTTTAAAACATCTTATCCCTTGAGTACTTTTATAACAAATGCCAAATACTATAATATTCATGCTTTTAAGTACTTGAGATAAATCCGAAGAATATTGATTAAAATAAGAGAAAAAAAATCAATAACACTAACGGGAGAGGTAACATATGTTAGTAAATGTGCGCATAATTAAGCAAATATGACGTAGTTAAACTTTGTACGTGTAACTCAAAAGTAATAATGTACACGACGCGTAGGTATACTCTTACACGTACTACAATACACACCGCAGTATGAGTCAATAATGACAAACGCTATATTTATCAATTGATTAAAATCATTGATAATTTTATTGTATTTCGGATATATTTTGTTGTTGCTTTTTTATTACTTCTAAACTGTCTCAATTGTTTTTAGTTAAAAAAAGTAAGTTTCCAAATGTTGCTGGCTAATTTATACCAATATCAATTTTCCATTTGTGTTGTAAAAACTTACTTTTTGTTGCGAATTCGCTCGATGAGTAAGACGCTGGGTGCAGCTGTTGCACAGCTAAGTCATCGCACGCGCCCACAATGCTATTACGGCTATCCAGAGATTGTTCGTGGGTTGGCGCCCAATATTGTACTAAACTATGGCGTAATGGGCGCTCAATTTGCGATGCCATAAAAATATCACAATTGTAGAGAGTAAGAAAATCGTCAAATATATTGGCAGAGATAGACAGAATATTATCAAATTCATCTTGTATGACATTGAAAGTCAATTTAGGTACATTTTTTATTTCCAAACACTTGACGTTGTGGTAGTTTGCCTCATGGCCAAAGTCACCCGCTTGCAGCGCTATGCTCTTCACTGTGCTTGTGATTTTAAAAGAGACGCTTGTGGTTGTGGTGATTTCATCCAACTCCTGCAATAACTCCTCCTCTACTAACTCATCACTTTCGAGTGTAATACTTTGCGGACTCGTTGATCTAACATCGATGGCATAATCTTTTGCATCGATTTTTGCCAATTTAGCGAGTAGTGGACACCAACCAGCAGATAGTTGTATTTTGCCGAAATTTCTTGAAGCGATAGGTGGTGTACGCGGTGCCAAATAGAGGTCACGTTCCCAATCACAGTTGAGGCTCATCACAGTTAAGGGGTTGGTTGGCTCCAATTCTAGACTGCCAGCGTAGTCTACGTCATCGTAACCAAAGGCCTCAGCACTACCCAACTCATCATAAAGGCCTTGTAAATTCGGTGTTTTAAATAATTTTTCCACAATATCACTTTGCTTAAAACTGGTTTCTTTGCTTGTTACGGACATTTTTGATATTTTTAAACTTATTTGGTGGTATTCTTAAACTTTATACACTATATTTTTGAGTTTTTACATAACTAAAAAATTTCTTATATATTTTTTCTTTAATTTGTTTCTTCACTTTTGCGCAATTTAATGCAGTTGAA